ATAGATAGATAGATAGATAGATAGATAGATAGATAGATAGATAGATAGATAGATAGATAGATAGATAGATAGAGTGATTGTAATAAAGTAAAACAAACATCAACTAACAACTATAAACCAGGGGCATCCCAGGGGATGAGAGGGCAACAGGAGCAAAATGGGCAGAGAGAGCGCTCGGGACTATGGTGATGGTACACGGTGAAGTAGTGCTGCGACATCCAGGGGGATTACAACTGAGATGGAAAGTGTACAGATGAAGAATGATATAATATACACATAATATACATATAATATATATATATATGGTGTATATATATAATAAAAAGAAGCTCAGAGAATACCAAGGAAGATATGAAATCATCAACACTTTGTAAAGTTGTTAAATCAAAGCAAAAGAGGAATATCAGCAATTGTATTTAAAGTGAATGGATTAGCTACTTCAACTAAAAGACTGAATTGTACAAGATTAGTGTGGTAAATGACCTGGAGTCTTAACAATTGTCTCACCCCCAGTTCTAGTATGCATAAATAAATAAGATCTTTAATAAAAAGAAAAAATCAAGATAAAACAACAAAATCCAAATAAATGCTACCTATCCAACATACAAGGGCAAATCAAGTTGAAATACAATGATAGAAAAATGCATATACTATGGAAATATTGTTAAAACACACAAGATGAAAAAAAGAAGGTGAATGGGAATATAAATGGAAAATATTTCTGTGATTCCTTGTTCTCTGAGACGACCTCGATTAAAACAGAGACTGCGCGTTCAGGAAGGGTGACAGGGAGCGGCAGAGCTGGCTGCGTGCGTCGAGCTCAGGGGGAGCTGGGCTCTTGGCAGCTGCTACCAGGGCTGCAGTTTCACAAGGAGATGGGCAGCTCGTGTGAGCTGACGCCGTCACGTGTGAGCCTGGGCTTGAGTCACGGCTCTTACGAGATGTCATCTCTGAGGAGAAAGCATGCTTGTTAGCTGCCGTGTGATTTCTTCCTAGTAAAATGTACTCATTGTTCTTATAGCCGGAGAGCCCAGAATGGATCAGCACCAATTTTCTATTTCATTTTCAGAGAAAACTACTAAGAACCTGCTAAGGCTGCAAAAGGTCAACCGTCCTTACATGTAGTCACATCCCTAGGAATGGAAGTTTCAAGATATGTAAGTGAGGAACAGACTCCTATTGAGAGCATTCCCCACAGAAGAGAGAAAGACTTCTGAGTGGAGGATCTTAAAATCAGGAGGAAGGTGGGGAGGGGAAGGGATGGAGGGAGAGAGAATCTGGAGCAGCCAGCCCAAGGCCACACCCCAGAGATGGGCTGACCAGGAGGTGCAGAACATTATCACTTCAGGACTCAACCCTGATAGCTTGGGCTCTGCTGTCAGGAGTCCAAGGGAGAGCAGATGTCATGCAAGGTCTGGGGGGACTGCAGGGAAGAAATTCACCTAAAGATAGTCACAAGCACTGGGCTCTTCCTCAAAAGCACACCTTAAGCTGTCACAGACATGAGAGAGACCCCACTGGGGCAGAGATCACTGGCCAAGAGGGGCCTGTCCTGGAGCCTCAGAGACCACATCCCTCTGCCTACAGTGCTCATCTCAGTCCCCACCAGGGTTACCCACATTTGGATCCAATTTTCTGCTGCCCCTGTGGTGGAGGACCATGGAGCCAACACCTAGGAAGGGAAACTCCTCAGGCAGGGAGATGGAGTCCTGTCAGCATCAAGTGCTAGGGAAGATGATAATAAAGCAGGAAAACGTTTGAGCTGTGGGTTTGTGGGGAAGAATAAAGCACCTCAGATTCATGCTTAGGTTGCAGGTGCAGGAGTATCTGGGGGTATAATAAAAGTTTCTATTGGGAGGGATTTCTTTAAAGGCATCCATATCTGCACCCATCATAGACACGTACACATACACCACCACCACCACATCACCACAATCCAGCCATCTGCCTTAGAGAGTGATTCTGTGGACTCCTTTCTAGAAACCTGACTTCCACTGGCAGACATGCTCTGGCATTTACCTTTCACATGCACTTCAAACTTCCCTTTATACCTCTCTCTCTCTCTTTCTCTCATCCTCAGACTAAAGGAGCAAAAACCCAGAATCATATTGGGGAGACAAGTACTGGGTGCAGGAAGGGAATCTCAGAGCCGCAGCCTCAGTCATAACCCATTACAGAAAAACAAGGAAGTCATCAGACATTTTCTTTCTTTTAGATGTTATTGGGAAGAGCTGAACACAGATTTTTTTTTAAAGATTCATTTATTTATGCATATAGAACTGGGGTACAGGCCAGAGGTACAGGGGCGATGAGAGGATTCACCAGAGTGAGAGCAGAACAGGCAGATCTATGAAGTACCTTGCTGAGGGGAGCAGCAGGAGAGACAGGAGAGGTCCGCTGAGCCACATGGATCACATCTGAGCCGGGAAACCAACTCACACTGAAGGGGCCACAGCCAGCTTGCAGTGTAGTGTCCTAACCCGTTGTGCCAATGAGGACGGCATGAACACAGATTATGGCCAATCTGGGCAACATCTCACAGCTGAACTTGAAAAGCAGAGACCCCACAGAAGAAAATGAAAATTCAGCACCATGAAAGAGACAGTAATAAGAGCAGGAATGAAACTCAGAAATGCAACTTCAGGAAGTTACTCAGGCATAACCCATTACGGGGAAACTGGGAAGTCATCACACATTTTGAGAGTTATTGGGGAGATCTGAACACAAACTCAGTCAGTCTGAGAACAAATATTCAATCTGGGCAACATCTCACAGCTGGATTTCAAAAGCAGCACACCAACAAGAAAAAAACTGAACATTCACCAATACCAGGACCCCATTTGGTCAAAACCAAAGGGTCAACAGAGAGGAGCTGCCTCTGCAAACCCAGGCTCGCCCCCCAGAGCCTGAGAACTAACCCAGTGTCCCTGCTGATCTTAGGGGGGGGGGCTGCTTACCTTGGGCGCTCGCTAGGACAGCGGAGAGGAGAAAAGCCAGTCCTGGGAGAAAGCAGTGTCCAGCCATGGTCATTCTGATCCTCGTGTTATCGGGTAACGGTTTCCCCAAATATACAAAGAATCCCCCAGTCCTTAAGGGCGCTCCCAAACCCAGGAGGGGCTTATATAGTCCGAGCCCTGACTTTGCCATCATCTGGGAGCC